TAAGTAAGTAATATAATAATAATACTACTACCAACCGTACGTACCGTAACGTACGTTAGTTACGTTTACTTAGTAGAGTACTATATAAAATTTAATAGTGATCCTTTGAGGTCCTACTCATATGGGTGTGAGAGGGTCTCATAGTGTCATTACTCATAATAAAAAACCTAGACTCTTTTGCTTTATGGTAAAAGAAGAATATAACATAATTAAATCTCTAAAAAAGTAAAATTGTAGGAGGTTATTTCAACCGGGCTTAGTACACTCCACGTCGAGTTTTTTACTTTCGATGGTGCTTGGGATCTTTGATCGCTCTCTTGATTCTCCTTCTTATGGTAAAATCCAATCAATGCATATCGATATTGATTTAGAACCACCCACCTAAAGCCTCAAAGCTTTAGCCTAATTCAAGCCCCTTGGCTTGATCTTTATGAGAGATAAAAATCAAGAAATGAGGGAGAAAAACTACTAGCTAAGGGCTCAAACCCCTTTGCTACCCACTAAGAGATACTGGCCTAGCCTAGCTTGGGCATGGTCCCTTAGAGCCTACAAGAGAGAGAGAGAGAGACTTGCTAGGTTGGGGCATGCCCTTTAGGATAGTTTGTGAGAGAGAGGTAGGCTAGGGTGGGTTTCTTAGAGAGAGAGAGAGAGATGTGACCTAAGTGGGGCATGCCCCTCTAGGAAGCCTTAGAGCAAGAGATGATCTTAGAGAGAGAAAAGAGCCAAGAGGTGTGTAGAGATCATGGGAGATGAATGATCTTTTTTATAGATTTTTTCATACATTGGTGTTTACTATAAATTGTAGGAGCAAATCTTGACCGTCAATTTAAGGAGACTTGTAGGGTATTAAATGTAAGACATCCATTCTTTAGATCTACCATCAAGATACTAAGAAAGGTATTAAAACTTTATCTTCCAATTTCTAAACTATTCCCATTAAATAAGTTAAATAAGAAAAATATCTCTTTATTTTTTTATTAGGAAATATTCATTTCTTATTTCTCAATCAAAACCTTCTTGTTTATCAAGATATTCTAAAACCATATATTTCATTTCTTTAACGCAAGTAGGCTTCTCTCAACAAAAAGAAAGCCAACTAGCATGGGATGCCTCTCACTATATTTAGCAAGAATAAGCAAGCCCCTATGGGTGGGGCGTGCCACCCTTTAGTGGCCACTCATGGGCCCCACCCAATTTACCCCATGTGTTTTAAATTGGTCCTCATTTTAAAGGGTAAGTCCCACATATTTTGGAAAATATAGAATTTGACTTTTAGGATTTAATTCTTCGTAATTTGTTTAAAACTTTAGATAATGAATTTCTCTTGATTTATAAATCCAAATGGCAAAATTAAAATATCAGAAGATTCACAAAAATTCAAATAAACATTCTAAAAATCAAATAATATAATATAAATTAAATTAAATTAGTTTTGATGGAAATCGGATCCGAAGAGATTTAAGATTTATCAACGCACATGAGCACTCCACCTTCAACTGTGGATCACGATCTACAATAGCTTTCTCAAACTGACCCAGCAGTTCTCATGGCTCACAGTCTATAACAAGGGCTCATGATTGGACCGCCAAAGTCAATTAATAGGCGAGGAGATGTAATCCCAGTATGTGGATTTAATGTTCTCTCCAAGAGACAAACCATGATTCGCTAGACTATGATGCAACCATGTCTCTATGGTGCATAGGGATAATCTCTCACACATATGCACACTTCACCCTCAATGATGGATCTCTATCTCAATAAGTCAATACGACTATCTATGTACATGTCATGTGATGATACAATGATGGGGTTTTAGCCTTGTCTCTATAGGCTATGCATCACACACAAAGATCACACAGTTCCTTGGCTCTCATCCGAGCATACTCCGACCTCATCAAGGGCTAAACTACTAAACCCTCTTTGTTTATATCTCTATGCCCAGGTACGTTGGATCTTTCCAATTCGGCTAGCCTAGCACGTTGAGCTTAGTCCGAGTATTGGCAAATTGCATTTGCCAAGTATAGTCCACAAGAGGACCACACTCCCACTGAATTTATGATTCATTTATTCAAATGTTTTAAACAATCTCTCTTAAAGGCCACATAAACCCAACAACTCAGACCATGTAGCGCCCGAGTTATGTGGCCTGCTGCATTTTTGAATACTGGGTGACAATCGTTCATAAAAATGCAGGCAATGGGATTGTGATCTTGGACTAGGTGATATACGAACCACAGTCATGGGATTTCGCTTGCTCAGACTACACGGATACCAAGTTTCTGCAGGTGCTCACTCTTTTTGTGTGTACGTGCGTGCATGTGTGTGTGCTGACGAATTATCATGGACGAAACTCTGATGTGTTTGGTGACAGATGTTTTGAAAGGATACCTAAAGGAAGATGATGGAGGGCTAAGTTCTCTCTCGATTGATTCCCATGAAGGAGTATGTGTGTTACTAGACTTGTTCATGTGTTCGCAGTTTGCCTTCCCATGGGAGTACGAGATAATGGAAAAAGCAGCAACCCTCTCAGAGACTCAACTTCACATTTCACTGCTGAAAGATGGCCCTCACCTTCGCATAAACAATCTCAAAACTGAGGTATCCTAACTAGTAATTTACATTTTTTTTTTTTGGGTAAATAAGTGAGGATAACGAGCCCCGACCTGTTTTTGAAATAGTCATTTTTAAAGATCAAGACCTTTTTAACTTGGGCTCAGGTGATAGTTTACACCAATGGTTTAAAAAACGGATCGGTGACTCGGATCGGGCTTCCAAAAAACCGATCCGGATCGGCGAATCGGATATCCGGATCGGGAATTGGGTGAATCGGTCAGAATAAAGCTTAAAAAAAATTCGAAAAAATTATTAAAATTCATTATAAATATTGTTTTTTAGGAATTCAATAAAAAATGAGGGTACTCCATTAAGAATTTTCATGTTTTTGAATGAATATGCGAATATTGATATGTTCTTTCCCTGCATGAACCGCCATTCAGCATTTAATTTACAGTATTTCGTGCTCATCCCTACACTGTTGCTGTTGAGACTCGATATGTGAATAATATGACTGGGATAGGGTGGCTTCAGAATCATCATCTCTCTCATTTTCTCTTTGAATAATATGGATTAAAAAAAAAAAATAACAAATTTTCAAAAAAATCGATCATGGATTAAAAAAAAAATCACAAATTTTCAAAAAATTCTATCATGGATTACAAAAAAAAATTCGATCATGGATTAAAAAAAAAAATCACAAATTTTCAAAAAATTCAATCATGGATTACATAAAATTCGATCATGGATTACATAAAATTCGATCATGGATTACATAAAATTCGATCATGATTACAAAAAAAAACAAAAAATTCAATCGTGGATTACAAAAAAAGAAAAAAATAGCTCGATCATGGATTACAAAAAATTCAATCATGGATTACAAAAAACTCTATCATGGGTTACAAAAAAAGCAAAAAACAAAAAATTCAATCATGGATTAACAAAAAAAAAAAAACATTTCGATCATGGATTACAAAAAAAAACAAACATTTCGATCATGTATTACAAAACATTCGATCATGGATTATGGGTTACAAAAAAAAAAAAAACAAAAAAATCGATCATTGATTACAAGAAAAGAAAACAAACATTTCGATCATGGATTACAAAAAATTCTATTATGGGTTACAAAAAACAAAAAATTCGATCATGGATTACAAAAAACAAAAACAATTTGATCATGGATTACAAAAAAATTGATCAAGTATTACAAAAAAATCTATCATGGATTACAAACAAAAAAAATAAAAATAAAAAAAATAAAAAAAAAATAATAAATTCCATACGGGACTCGCCGATTCCGTACAGTGAATCGGCGAGTCATTGTACAGAATCGTCCGGTTCTCTCTAGAACCGGACGATTTCCGATTTTTTAGCCGATACGATCCACTTTTACAATTTCCGAGTCGAACCGGGCGAGTCCGATTCGACTCGGCGTTTTTTAAAACACTGGTTTAAAACTTTAAACACTTGAGGTCGATCCGGACAGATATCGTTCTTCAACTCTCCGATCGACCCTTCTAATATCAAGGACGATCTTCCAAGTGACCTGCCCTCCCTCCAAAGAAATCATATTAGTCACCAGTTCATGTTCCTATCTTATCACATCCCCATACATTTATGAGAATTTAGTCATTATATCTTTGAATAAACCATATTAGTCACCAATGCATTATATCTTTGAACAAATGATGCGGATACACTAGCCGCAAAGGACACTCTTCCAACCACTTCTTGTGCCAAAACCTCATTTTAAATCCATCGCCATGCAGGATCCTAGAGCTGCCTATCTCTTTCTAACCCAACCCATTAAGCTTAATCCCTCTCTAACCCTCCTCTACCTCCACGCTTTTTTTAAGCGGACTCGTGGAGGGGAGGGCGAAATGGAATTTTATGTATTTATTTTATTTTTTTCCTATATCACAGTTTCTAACTCATATGGTTACGGTACTTTGCTTAGACGCCTTTCAAGGAGTGCTTTCAAAAAAGAGGTTCTTGAAATGGCACCGAAAAAAAAGGCATTTTCTTTTTTTTGGTGAATTAGTGGGGAAGAAGAGGTCCTTATAATGGTGTACATTTTTTTTTTTTTGGGGGTGAATTAGTGAGGATGACGGCCCCCTACCTGTAAGGGTTTTTTTTAAGTGAATTAATGGGGATGATGGCCCTAAGAATAAATGGGCGCAACACAAGAACTTCCCAAGACGTCATCCATTCTATTGCTACTCTTGCCATGCTTAACCTCAGAGTTCTTATGGGATTCGGTGCAATAGTGATGGTATGACCGCACCCAAAAAGGAAAGCAGATGAAAGATAACTTTCTAAAGTTCGAATTAGTACCATTAAAAAATTAAAAATAAATAAAAGGGTAAGCTAGAACAAAAAGATGAATATGCTTTCTAACCAGCATTTTGTGACAGTTGAGTTCAAGTGGACTCGGACTCGTTTATGGAGGCGGCCGAGTTGCCCCGAGTTGTGTGCACAACTCAAGGCATATAGAAAATTTTAAAAAGTAAAAATATTTGTAAAAATATATGAATCGTATATAAATCTTTTTTTATATAATGTAGGTGTTTTTGGAAATGCTTTGTGCATGTTCGTAATCCTTATTTTTGTATAATCTTTTTTTTAGATTTTTATAAATCTCTCCACATATAAAACAATACTGTTGTATAGAGCTGAAGCTCTAAACAATCAAAGTAAAGTGAACCTTCAAATGTTGTTGAGAAATGTGGTTTCAATTCTAGAAATCTTTGTGATAGCTTTAAAATATATTTTCATCTTATAAAATTTAAAACTTTAAAAGTAGTGTAGATTGAGCATAACTATGAAAACTTGAAAATCTTGAAAATTGATAGTCCAAAAATACGTTACAAGATGCACTATTGTCAAAACTTGAAATCCATTTTTCTCTCTTGTCTATGCTTGTTGATGTCGAGATGATGAATTTACAGGCAGATTGATCGATCTTTTTTTCTTTTCTTTTTTCCAGTTTTCACCTCTCTCTCTCT